TGTTTAGACTAAAATTCGTACACCATATAAAATTTTAATTACAAAGTTTAACCTCTCAATGATGCAGTATCTAGCACTTTCACATATACACCATATGAATGAACATAATTGATTTTAATCAATTTTAGTGCTAGCAGAACTAACAAGTGATTTGTTTTTACCCATATGAACTTTATTCATGGGATCTCCAATTACAAAGGTTGGGTTACCATCACCTGTTTGTTTGCAAGTTGCTTAAGGTCCATTCCCCTCGATGTTTCTAAAATCATATTTCTCGCTAAGGATTTTGTCAGAGGATCTGCTAGATTTTGTTCTGACTTCACATAGTTAATGGAGATTGTTCCATTCTTTAGCAGCTGCTTCACTAAATTATGTCTCAACTGTATATGTCTGTTTTTTCCATTGTAATTCTTATTTTTTGCTATAGCTATTGCCGATTGACAATCACAGTGTATTGATACAGACGGGATCGGTTTCATTCCTAATGGAATGTTTACTAAGAAGTTTTTCAACCACTCAGCTTCACTACCAGCCATTTCGAGAACAACAAATTCAGATTCCATTTTTGATCTTACAATAATTGTTTGTCTGGCTGGTTTCCATGTAATCGCACCACCCCCGAGTGTGAATACATAGCCACTAGTGGATTTTGTCTCATCTGAATCAGAGATCCAGTTAGCATCACTGTACCCTTCTAGTACAACGGGAAATCCACTATATTCAATGACATAATCCATTGAACATCTTAAGTATCTCATAAGTCTTGTAAGTGCATTCCAATGTTCTTGATTAGGACATTGAGTGTACCTACTCAGTCTACCTACTGCATAAGAAATGTCAGGTCTAGAAAAGCTCATTAAATGCAGTAAGCTCCAAATTACCTGGGCATACTGAGGATGAGAGATTCAGTCTCCTCTATTTTTCTTTAACTTAGAGTTAGCATCATAAGGGATATTCACTGGTTTGGCGTTATAACACCCAAACTTCCTAAGAAGTTTCTCAATATATTGTTCTTGGGATAGAAAAATACTATCGCCCTTCCTTATGATTTTAACTCCCAAAATCACATTGACTTCACCCATATCTTTCATTTTATATTTAGATCCCAAAAACAACTTAGTTCTGGAGACAATGTCAATGCATGTACCAAATATTAACATATCATCTACATATAAACATATAATGACACATTCACCACTCTCAAATTTAGAGTACACACATTTATCAGCATCATTAGTTGAAAAACCATTACAAAGTAGAACACTATCAAGTTTTTCATGCCATTATTTTGGTGCTTGTTTTAATCCATATAAGGATTTTAAAAGTTTGTACACTTTATTCTCTTGACCTAGAACAACACACCCTTCAAGTTGAGTTATATAAATTTTCTCCTCTAATTTACTGTTCAAAAAGGTTGTCTTAACATTCATTTGGTGTATAACTAGTTTATGGATAGCTGCTAGAGCTAATAAAACTCGAATAGAGGAAATCCTAGTCACAGGGGCAAAGGTGTCAAAATAATCAATGTTGGATTTTTGAGTAAAACCCTTTGCTACTAATCTTGCCTTATATTTATCTATGGATCCATCAGAATGATACTTTTTCTTAAAGATCCATTTACAACCAATATGTTTTGTTCCTTTAGGCAAATCTACCAAAGTCCAAGTATTATTTTTCTTAATTGAATCAATTTTAGTCTTAATGGCCTTTTCCCAATGTATTGCATGAGGAGCCCTAGTAGCCTCTAAAAAACTCATTGGATCATTTTTAACTAGATAAGTGTAGAAATCATCTCCAAAGGAGGTTTCCTTCCTGTCTTTTACTTCTCTTCAAATCCTCATATATTTTATCATTATTAATCTCTATAGATTGTTTAGGTATCTCACTAACCTTTAGAGGAAAAATATGTTCAAAGAAACATTTTTTGTCTTCACTATGTTCTGCATAGCCTAAGAACATACAATCAAAAGTTTTAGAACTTATTTTCCTTTTCTTATGATTAGGTAAAATTACCTTAGCTAGGCACCCCACACTCTTAGATATTTAAGATTAAGTTCATAACCTCTCCATAACTCATAGGGAGTTTTACCAGTTTAAAAAAAAAACAAACACACTGTAAGTGTAACTTCTCTCGGAGGTTATTTAGTGCACTAGAGTTGTTTGATTAAGTATACTTTTGTGTATGTAGAGTAATCATCTATAGATATCACAAATCATATGAATTAATTATATAAGCAGAACAACAAAATTTATTAACAATATCCCTTCCCTACAAGGACATTGTTTTTTTTTTTGTCATAACAATCTTATAAGATTCAAATGACACTTTAACCCCAACTTTTCCCAACAATGCTACAAAGATTAGATTAGCTCTGATTAATGGCACATGTAACACATCATTCAATGCCAGAGTCTTTCCAGATGTGAGCTTTAGAAGAACTCTTCCTTCTCCTAAGACAGAAGTTGTCCTATAATCACCAAAATAAATATGTTCTTCTCCATCCTCACACTAGTGTAGGAGGTAAAAACACTTCTGTTTGCACAGATGTGCCAAGTAGCACCAGAGTTTACCACTCATTTGCTCACATTTGTCACAAGGTTTATTAGAGAAACGACCGCAATAATTGTATCTTCTCTCTCGACTAAATTTACCTTAGAAGGATTGTCGTTTCTTATTCTACGTCTACATTGAGGTGCATGATGACCTAACTTTCCACAAAAATCAATTTTCTTTCTTTCTTGAACGTAAAGTGGGGTTAGATCCACTGGTTTCATACAGTCTCAACCCTTTCTTATACGTATGTACAAATAATATGGGGATCTAGTCATACATTGTATACATGTAATTGCTAATTATTCATAAATAAAATCTCTCATAACATATAATAATTATGCATAATGCATTTTTCATTTTCTCTGTTGTATTGGTGTAATAAATCTGAAAAAGGAACTTGTGTTTGACACGTGTGCTCTATGGACAAGCTGCATGATGTATACTGATAGCATTTGATATAACATGCAGTAATCAATTTCATATATGATTCACCTTTAACCCAATCTCGTAATTTGTTTTTTCAATTAAACTCAATTACATGGTCATTCACATTTCAATAAAAATTACAGTGTCATTCACACAAGAGCTATGAAATTAATTTCAATTTGAAATTGATTGCAGCTTTAAAACATAGATTATAATTTATTCCTTTATTCAATTTTGGGAAAAGCATAATTTAAAAATTATCATAAGAGAAAAATCATAAATCTAATAAGTATGGCTCTGATACCACATGTATTTTAATTTGTAGTTTCTATACGTTTCTATTCCTAGGAAACTACTCTTCACGTTTAGATTCTTTATTCTCACGTAATAGCATACATGAATCATAATCATATAATAACATACATGAATTGATTCTCACATAATAACATACATGAATCATAATCATGTAATAACATACATGAATTGATTCTCACATAATAACACACATAAATCATAATCAGAAGACTAACCTTGATCCATGAGCACTTCATAATTCTCTTTCTTTCATTATCCAATATTCTAAAACTGTTGAAGGAAGTTGTTGATGTTCGTACTGTCAGCCATAAGTCCTTAAGATTGTTGTATAAGCTGACGTTGACACGAGTAAACTTTATTCCTGAGGCGTGTATAATCACTGCCCTTAAGGACTTATCCGCGATGTATTGCGCAAGTCCCCTAGGATACAACAGGAACTTCTCGGAATATCCGAGATCTCAGAAACTAGTAAGAAACTCTCAAAAGAGTAAATTAATCCAGGATCATAGAAAGAAGATCAGAGAAGAGAAGATGAGAGAGGTGTGTTATGAAAAGTGTGAAGTGGTCTCTATTTATAAGAGAAAGTCTGTAACAGTTATGGAAGACTTGGTAGTGGGTTTGTAACGTTCCTTGTAACGTTTTCTGTAACGTTCTCTGTAACGTTCTCTGAAATAGTCTTCTGCAACGTGTGTGAGAACACGTTCTCTGAAACGGTCTTCTGCAACCTGAAATAGTCTGCAACGTGTGAGAACACGTTCTCTAAAACAGTCTTTTGTAACGTGTGAGAACACGTGCTCTGAAATAGTTTTCTGCAACGTGTGAGAACACGTTCTCTGTTTTGCAATATCCCTTAATTTACAACCATATAAACCCTAAATGGTTGTTTTAAGAACCTTTTAGTTATAAATCACAAAGTTAAGTGGTATTCTTACAAGGATAAGTACATCCTTTCAAAACTGAAATGTGTCATGTTCCTAAATTTAGATTCTTTTTTTTTTTTAAACAGTTGAGGTTTTTTCTTTCATATAAGTCAATGAGACGAATCAAAATAGGTTAATATATTAAAATTATTAATTTATTTTGTCAATTTTAAGATGAATTAATTTACAGATAAGATATCTAATCTACTTTATTATGGTCTTAATCTTATATTAAAATGTATAATACTTCGTGAATAAAAATAACATGATAATATGATTAGGATTTATAAAAGATGTATATAGTATGGTTTTCGACATAAAATATTAAACCATGATACAGAAAACTATATACCCATAAAAACCTTGATATGCATGCCTACCGGTAAGTTCCAATGTATCAATGGCAGTGATGCCAAACAATAAACAATCATATCTCTCCACACTTGTCTCCTGCCTACAACTCATTCGGAGAAGCAAAACAAAACGGAAATTCTAACATTTAAAAAATCATTTTAATTAAATAGTTCTTCACTGAAATTACTTACACAGAATAAATTTAAACTACTAAATCAATAAATAATAATAATAATAATAATAATAATAATAATAATAATAATAATAATAATAATAATAATAAGTAGTGAAGAGGAGCAAACCCGTGATTCCCGAGCATACGGGGAAAACATTTCATAGTATTATTATTGTGTTTTGTTTTTGGACAGCCACGTGATGTGGATCATTAGATGTTCTTGTTTTGCCAGCACAGTGACACAGAAGCATTTGCGATGGATAAAATCACCAACCCATGTACCATCACACGCACAGACATACACGTGCATCAACGAAACCACCACCGTCTTTGGTTCTTTACTGAATCATATGTCTTTCAATTCCTTTGGTGACCAATGTCTGCATGAATTTAGTTATCATAAACCTACATTCTTACAGTATCTTTCGTTAAATTTTTTTCATCTAAGTATAATCAAAATATATTAAATATTACAGTATCATATTGATTAGAAATCAAATATAAGTAGTTTATATATAACATTTTTTTTTCAATCCACCAAAATGTCTTAAAAAATATTTAAAAATATATATGTTGTACATAAGTTTATAAAGAAACAATCTAATTAATCAAAATACACAATAAAGATAATAAGAATATACGATTTTATACTTCTTCATAAATATAATTTGTTTCTTTATTCTAAGCGGTTGTTCTATTTTTAATTAGTGTTCTAAAATAATATTTCAAACATAAGAATTAACCCTAGACAATACATTGATGCCTACCGTGGAAGCTTCCCTAGATGATACATTAACTTCTATCATGAAATTAAGAATAAAGTCTCGCTATCATGTCCAAAGTTATCGACTAAACAAATTATATTTTTGACCTATTATAAAAAGATAACTTTTGACCTAAAATAATAATAACAAATAAATTAGACCTTAACGTAAATATTATTTCAAGATTTCAACGTAAAACTAATTAAAAATATATAAAATAGTATAATATATATTTAAATCATACCACACCACATAAAAATTCAACCTAACTCAACAAAACTTTCACAATTGTTGTCCAAAGAAATAGTAGACCATTACTTAATTATTATTTTCATCCTCCTTTCAAGAAAAAAAAATTATTTTCATTACTTTTAACATTTTATAAAAAATTTAATAAATACAATGTATTTTTCAATTTTCATAAAATAATTTTTGAAATTTCCTAATATATATGCTTTTAATTTATACTATACAATAAATGCATACTAGTTATACATGAGTAAATAATTAAAATTAGATAAAAAGATACCAACAGAATTGGTGAAAATAGTTTATATTATTTAAAATTTTTAAAATGATAAATATAAAAGTCTTTTTAAAAAATTGATACATGAAAGAAATAGAGAAAGTGTTCATCAGTGCAAATAAAATTTTGACCAAAAGTTAAACAGGACTTTTAAAAGTTATGATTGTTATTTGAATATTTGAACCAGTCACTACTATATTTAGGGCTTAAATTTTGTTTTTAATTTTGTAGTTTTTGCGTATTGTGACTTTGATATACCTATACAATTTTTATAACATACTTAGTCTTTAAATTTTTAAAAATTAAGAAACTTTAATTTATTTTTGATATATTACTAAATTGTTAATAGAAGTAAATTTAAGTCTTTTTTTTATGGCGCTTAAACTAATTCTAACATGTTGCAACGTAAACCTGCAAACAAACAAATGATATTCATGCTATCTAATTAAAAATATACAAGTATCTAAATAGACAAAAAAAAACTTAGTTTAATTGGAAGAAAATATCAGCTAGATATTTAAAAAAAAAATTTATTATTAAGTAAATTTAATGAGTCCTACTAATGAAGTCTAATTGGTCCATCTGTTTTTAATATCACATGAAAATAAACCTAATAATATAAAATGTGCTTGACAGAGTACGTAAATGATAAAACATAAACCCATGTTTCTAATTTCCTGAAAACAAAATATTTCTATATGTCAGAGATTGTCCACTGGTACATATAATACAAAAACATCACCAGTTCATTTTTATTGCAATTATATATACTTTATTAATTGTCACACAAAACTTCTTATATCCTTCAAGTGGGAACAAAAAAAAAATTGTATTCACATTCAAACTTAAACATATTCCTCGCTTTGATGTTCATGCATATTTAAAAACATATACAAATCAACATGGTCAGATATGAAACCATATTATCGTTTACTCGTCTCACACAAGCATTGACTGAAGAGAGAGAAACGTAGCTTGACAAGTAGCTCTAAATTCCATTGAAGATCGCTGTAGGGTTTTTAACCTTATCACATCTCATATCCAGAGGTGTACCAATTGTCATCATCGATTCTCCAACTATGTATATATATATATATATATATATATATATATATATATATATATATATATATATATATATATATATATATATATATATATATATATATAGCTAGCTGAGTTCATGTTTCTAGGATCAATATTTTAACCTTTTTTCATTTTTTGTACGGGGAGGGAGAAACATGTGAAAAAATTTCTCACCCCCAATTATTCTTTCTTGTTTTGATTTCAACAATTGAACTTTTATCCACACAGCACTGTTTATTTCTTGTGTGTTATAATCTTCGAGGGTATAGTAGCATATATAAAGTTGGGAAATCAAGGTGTATGGAAGATGGGAGAAAGCCGAGTCTCCCAATGTTCCAAGACAAGCCCTTCTAACATTGATGAGCAGGAGGATTGTGAAAGCCAGGCCAATGATCAAAGCAAGCAAAACAACAATGGAGGAAGCTCAAGTAACAGCACAGTGGAAGAGAGTGAGAAGAAGATTAGACCTTATGTTAGATCCAAGTTGCCAAGGCTTCGGTGGACACCTGATCTTCATCTTCGCTTTGTTCATGCAGTTCAACGACTTGGAGGACAAGAGAGTGAGTTCCTTAATTATTTTGCTTTAGTGTTAGGTTTCAATTTTCCATATTTGTCATCAATTCCAGCAAAGTTGGTACAGAAAATTGTTCTTTTAAGTGCTTTGCCTAATATTGATCTTTCATTTTCTTTGGGTGTTTAGGAGCAACACCAAAATTGGTTCTTCAATTGATGAATATGAAAGGTTTAAGTATTGCCCATGTCAAGAGCCATTTGCAGGTAATTATTTGATAATTCTCAATAGAATTATTATAATTGTTTCCATTGATGGCCTCGTTTGGTTTATTTCTTTTCTTTCCATTTCTTTTTGCTAGATGTTTAGGAGCAAAAAGGTGGATGACCGAAATCAAGGTACAAGATGTTCTTCATTCATTTCAACGTTAAATAGTACTGATTAGGGTTTCTGATTACATATTCCTAATGGATGCAACTTGATTTCATATATATGACAGTATTTGCCGATCATAACAGTCTTGTTGATATTGGAGACAAAAATATTTATAATCTTAGCCAACTTTCGATGCTTCAAGGGTATAATCCCAGTCAGAGTTCATCCTACAGCTACACAAACAATCACTATTCAACAAGGTTTGCTTCAATTTTCTCAGAAACAAGCACTTATGAGATATAACTTGTCTTTATTTTGAAGCTCTTTCATGAATTAAGCAAGTTAAAGCATAATAATTATTTCATTAAAATAAACTAAACCAAAAATGTGTTGTTCATTTCAACCATTTAAATGTTTTTTCTTCATTTTCAGATGCGGTGGATTCGGGGATGCTTCTTTTGGTGTCTACGAAAAACTTGTACACAGACCTTTCGATTGGTCTAATGGAGTTTCTCGGGCAGGTTCATCCATTTTTGGTGAACAATCAACAAATAAAACCCGTGAACCAAAATATGAGTTTCTCTCATTTGGTACATATGAATCTCTAAGCACAAGATTTAGTCACGTTCATCACACTCCATCAATCAATATTATGCAACAAAAAGCACAAAACCTCATGCCTATCAATCCAACAACAGAATTGAAGACACTGAAAAGGAAGGCTCAAGACACATCACTTGATTTGGATCTGTCACTGAAACTAAGCTCAAAGATGGATGCCGAAGGAACAAAATTGGAGGACCATGAAGTTCATGGCAACCTATCACTCTCATTGTGCTCGCAATCCTCCTCTTCCAATCTTAGCAGCAGGTTGAAGGAAGCACAAGATCGATGTGAGGAACACGGGAAAAGGGCCAGTACTCTAGATCTGACTATATGAATGAGACAAATTCTCAGTGAGATCTTGAGGTACTTGTCAGAAACTATGCTTTTTATAACTAAAATTCTTACATTTATCTGACTTAGTTATGTTTGATTTTTGTCTCTTTCTGTATGTACTGTCAAATACATGAACTAGCTAGATGAATCATGATTTTGATTCCAATATTGTCTTCCTTTTTCTCAGCAATTTCAGCATTGCCTTAACTGTCATAGAATGCCAAAAGAGAAACTTTAGTTACAATTAGAGTTAAACTTTAGTTACATCATCTTTTGCATATATAACAGTTTTATAGTATTTGGTAACAAGAGTTTTCGTTGGAAAATCAAGCTCGACTTTATTATAGGTTAATGATGAATAATAAATAAGATTTATATTTGTTTTATTATTATTATATTTTGGTGCACAAAACAAAATAGAAAATAATTAAAAAAATGGTTCAATATTACATCTTTTATCTTAATAATGAAAGATGATAGATGTTATTATGAGTGTTTTTTCTTCTTCTTTTTTTCAACTCATATCGCACTTGAAAATGGATGGAAATTGGATTGAATAGAACAGTTTTAGTAAGATGCAGATTGAGAATTTTAGAATGTATATTCTAAAAATTTAATTTTTAACTTTCCATTTATCATCTTTACAATTGTACTTATAAAGTGCTGCTGTATTAATTAATAAATTTAAGTTGTTACATAAATTATTATAAAGTTAAATTATTACAATATATGTAATATATTGCATATATTTGCTAAATCTTTTCAATACAATAAGAAAAATGTTTTGGAAATTTTGGCTATAAAGAAAACATTATTAAATGATAATGTAATATATCATTAATTGTATTTATATTCGGAAAGAAAATTTGAAATTAATTTTTAATTAATAATTTCCCCATTTTAGTTTATATATTACATTTGTAAGTTTGAAGACACAAGTCCACTTTTTTCAAACCTTTCTTAGTATAAGTTCGCTATTTTTTTTTTTTTTTGTTTAAGTAAGAAAGTTTCGCAATAATTTATTACCAAAACTTTTATGTTCGGAAATCATGATTTTTCTTATAAGTCTAAAATTTATAAAATTGATCATAAATATATTTTGAAATATTTAAATAATATTTTTCTTTTATAATTAAAGAGTAAAGTGGTATTTTATGAGAACTTTAATATCTTACCACATGATCTAAAAAGAATATCATAATAAAACTTTTTTCAAGTAAAAAAACCAACTAGGATTCTCACAAAAACAATTATGTAGAAAATATAATTGTTCAAGGAAAAAGAGTGTCTCTGACATTTATTATCATTAGGATCAATTTCTATTAGTTAATATATTTGTTCGGTCCATTCCTGTAATTAATTAATTAATCAATTAAATGCATTAAATTAATTTGATCAACTTGGTTACTATTATCGATCGACTTAATTAATTTGATCGAATTAATTAATTCAAATAATTTAATTAATGCAATCAACTTATCTCATTTAACTAATTTAAGGTAAAGTAATCAGTTTAACCAATTAATTTTTTTATTAATTAAATCAATTAATTGATTTAATTGATAAAATTTATTTAATATTTTAATTATTAATTAAACTTTCGGTTCTTTTTATTATTTATATTGTTTAATAGAAATATAAACGGCAATAATTTTTCTATTTCTTAGTCTGTATAAAATATTATATAATATTTTATTTTACCTTTTTTATCATAATAATGTAAATTAATTAAAAATCCAGTTGAAAAATAGGAGTATAATTGACAAAAATATAATTAATATTGTTTTGAATTTTGAAAATAACATATAAAAATAACATTTTCTAAAATTCTAATAACTAAAAATTGGAGAAAATAACTAATTAATTATTAATTTATATTTTCATTATCGAGGAGTATACGAAGAATATTAAAACCATTCTCCCTCAAAAATGTTACAAACTCTAAAATCATCTCTAATTGAAAAGTTATTTCATTTATAATAATAATAAAATAAAATAGTAATTATTCGAAAGAACTTATTTGAAAGAATCTTAGGTATATGATAAGGTAGAAAATTTGTTAATTATTTCACTCAATATTTTATAAAATAAAACAAAAGTAAACAATTAAATAAATTATTTGAAATTCTTATATTAAAAGTGTAAAATCATTAACAATTGATAAAACTTACATTTTATAATATTAAAAATAATAATATTTTATATTATTAAAAATAGTGAAATAATTACTAATCTTTACAAAATTGGTTTTAATAAAGGATTTTTATCTTTTAATAATAGTTAGAATTGATTCTAATACCGAATAAAAAATAATGAGATACTTAATTTAATATTAAATTAGAAATGGTGAAATATCTAATATAATCTTATAAAATTAATCTGACGAAAATTTATATATTAAAAATTATATTTATTTATATATTATTATATTTTTAATCGATGAAAAGAAAATAATTTATATAAAATATTATTTTCAAGTAAAGAAAATAACTTATATCAAATATTATTCTTATTAAAATTGTCCTAAATAACTGACCATCATCTCTCAAAATTAGAGATGAATATGAGTAGGATGAGAAATGATTGAAATTAATATCAGAAAAATGTTCAAGAATTCATATAAATTGGCACAAGAGGGCAGTACAATGTTCTCCATTGTAGCATCATAGTTCATAGGAAGACAAAGTTGTTGCATAACAATGTAATCGTTCAGTCTTATTCATAATTTCTTCATCCAAATCAATAACCCTCACTCAACTTCTCTATCTCTTGCCTCAGAGCCCAATTCAAAGCTGAAATCACCATCAACCATTTTCAGTTAATAGTCAATGAAAAACTCACTGTTATAAAAAAATTTAATTATTATCAAACATTGATAACTAAAAATAATATGATGATAGCATTGTATTTTATTACCTTCCTTTTCTGCAATAAGTTTAGTAGCAGTGTCACACTGTGCTCTCATCATAACATTTTCTTCAACTAATCTGTCATGGACAGATTTCCAGTAAAGCAGTTGAGATTGAAACATTGAAATTTCACCCTGTGTCATAAATCAAACACACACCTAATATCAAATACATTTCTGCATAGAGTATTTACATGTAAGAAAAATTGTTTAAGAATAAAATGGATATTTTATTATCAATCTCATGTTTAAATTATTTAAAAGTGAAAATATTACTTAAAATTATATAAAATTATTTATATAAATAACTCTGATCAAGTTTTATAAAAAAATATTTAAATTTATTTTTAAACAATTTTTATTAAAACCTATCTTTGGAGACCCTTAATCATCAACTTAATCCAATTGATTAACTTTTGTAAAATTCTTTCATTCAAATTCATATACGTAAGTTAATTTATAAAAGAATTTCATTTTATTTTATATTTACACTTTTTTTTTACCTTATGGTTATTAATAGAAATGTTTATTCAAACAAAGTCAATCATGAACAATTTAAAAGATTAAGTTTTTATTCTCCTTTTTTTCTATATAAAAGATTTTTTTTAAAGGGTATGTTTCTTTACAAGTAAGCAGAAGGCAGAAGTGATTAATATGAGGAAAAAAGTAAAATAATAATAATAATAAAATTCATTTATTTATTATTTTAAATAAATATTTTTGTCCATTCTCGTATCATTTTATTCACTAACAAATATATATTTTTTATTCCATCTTTTTTTTGTTCCTGTAACCGAAGATACAGTAGAAAACAGTTGTTTTTTATAAAATAGTTTTATAATCATCCATCACATTAACATTTTTAAATATCCTTACTTAATTAATACTTTTTAGTAAAAAATAATAAATGCAAAAGTTAATGATATAATTGATTCCTCTCTCTAATAAATAATGGTTGGAAATGAGGATATCATAAGTTACGTAATTATTATTTTCACTTCTAACATTAATTAGTTAGATAAGAGAGAATTAAATGAGTAATTTAAACATTAAGAATAGTTTAGAAAGAGAAGAGTATAAATTATTAAAAAATGTAATGCTAATAACAAAATTAATTAATTTTTTTTTCAAAGAACGGCACTCACTTCAAGGGCTTCAGCTTGGCTCTTCAAATTTTGTGCCTTCGCTTGCTTCCTGAGTCGATATCTCGCAGAATAAACCCTGTTTGCCTGCTTTCTATACAAATCCTATTTTTATTAAATATCAAAACGTAGAAGATAAACATCTATGATTTTTTATTTATTTATATTAATTAAACCATTTTAATAGTAAATTATATTATAATTATTTTTTTATAAATAAATAATGTGAGATTATTTATGAATTTTTTTTTAATAATATTTGAACTCAAAATCTTACTTGGGCTTTGCTTGAATGATGTGATGGCAAGTGAGAAAAATGAAAAATAAATAAATAAAAATTAGTGAAAAATGTAATTATTTAATGATAAATTTACCTTTTTTATTTATAATTAAAAAATACAGTTGTTAATCACATGAATGGAATTTTTATTACAAGAAAAATGACAACAATTTATGTATACACAATCAATTTTTGGAGGGGTATATTGGGGATTTTTATTGTGCCACTATTTTAATTGTTCTCACACACTCATCTCTCTCAAATAATCTATTCTAAATCCAAACTTTTTCACTCTTAACAAAAAAAAATCAGTGAAGGAAAACAAAGTGTTGATAAATTTTTTGTTTAATTACCCCTAAAACTAACCAGAATTTTTTTTTTCCAATTCTAAGTTTAAAACAAAGGAGAAATTTTATTTACCGTTTCATTTGAGCCTCCAATTTGGAGCTTGAGTCATGGACATCCTCAACAGTGTTTGTGGAATTTAAAGGTCCAAGAACATGTTGTGTCCCAAGATACATCAGAGAAGGATTGTCGTGTGTTTTCAACACATTTCTTGCTTGAAATAAAATTTCACGGCCTTCATTGACACTGGACTTGTTTTTGTTGCTGGTTGGGGCTTTGGGAGGCAAGTGAAGAGCAGCAAATTGCTTGTCATTGGTGAGTAAGTTCATGAAGGTTTGGTTGGCCATGGTCTTGGAGTCAATGCTCTTGTATTTGACCAAAAAAATAAAATTTGTCAAACAATTAGAATCATAGAAACATGAAAATTGGTAGAGAAATTAAAATCGTAAAAAGTTTTGAGAAAGTTATTCTCAAACCATTTATTGAAGAGGAGTTGCATACCTATGCTAGTGATCAAGTAACGAGAATTGAAAGTGAATTCATGAGGCTTGTGTTGTGTGGCCTTTTATATAGCATTAGGTTTTGGGTGCGTTGTTGCCGCAGATTCTCTACTGTGGATCTATTGGCCGTTTGATTTATATTTGAATGGTTTCAAAGTATAGAATATGCTTTTCAATGGTTGATTTTAGAAGGTGCATATTTTGGTAGCAGGACTGCGGTGTAGAGGATCCATACGCGTGTTCAGCTTTGTTAACATATTGGGTTCAATCAATTTATAGAAGATGTAGGCAAATATGCTAATAATTATGTTTCAACAAAAGAAATATTTTAAAATAATAATGATCGTTGAGAAATGACAATTTAAGTTTTCATCCCGTAAAATGGATGGTTTATTCTAGAGAAAAAAAAAGAACTCACTAATAACATAAAAAAAAATTACTCGTATAAATTTATTAAAAATAAAATATTTAATTAGTATAAATTTCAACTAGATCCTTATAAAATAAATAAGGATATATTATTGAGGTTTTTAGAACTTTTACGTTATAATAATTAATATATGGATGTTATTTTCTCAATCACTTACTATATTTTAGTAAATATATCAAATTAATTATTATAATTATCGTATTAATATAAATTTGTCAGATATGAGTTATTATTTGTTTAATGTATTTGTACAATTTTTTTAAAATATTGACTTAAAAGATATTTATTTAATCCAAAATGAAAATTAAATTTAATACTTTCATTATACAATAGTTAAGTTAGTTACACTATATTCGATATTTTTTGTCGAGTAATTTTATATTTTATTAGACAAAATAGATAATTAAGTTAATTATATTAAATTGGATAAAATAATATATTATTCGTAAAAGTTAATAGGATAAGTACATTATACAATTCACCTTATTTTTATCATTCTTCCTCGTTCATAATATTATTTTGTTCACCTATTATTTTATTCATATGTGTAGGAAATGTTTAGTGAATGCTGAAATCATTTGTCATGATCTACCTATTATTTTGTTTGCATTTTAAATAAAAACTAACTTTTGTATCATAAAGTGATGCAAAACACAAAGTTGTTATTCTAAGTATTTTTCACAAGTAATTGTTCATTATGTAAATTCTCGTCATCACAAAATGATTTCAAATCATTTTTTGATGTGGATGAAAGAAAATCATAGAGTTATCTTTATGTTTTACTGAATTGTACAATATACTCATCCTGTTAACTTTGATTATTATTTGTTTGGTTGAAAATTTTAAGATTTATTGTTAAAGTACTATAAAGCTTTACTTGATACTTATATTGTAAACATTGATAAACGAATGATTGTCATTGTTACAGGATATGCCCATGTGTATAAATGCCTTAATGAAAATTTTGTTACGTAGATTGAATTGAATTATTTATATTGTAAGTTGTCCATCAAAGTTTTGAATTTGATAACAATTTCATTTTTACGTGAAATGGAGATAAAGGTCGGATTGAAAATCAATCCTGTAAATTGTGAGTTTAAATTTTATTTATGACACATCATATTTTGTTACGTGATGGAGATGGGGATGGTCGTGGTGGTGGCCCAAAAATTTGGGGGAGCGACTGTGGGAAGCTCGTGGTGGCCGTTTGGTGGTGTTGTGAGTCGCGGTGGAGGAGCTGTGACCGAAGTTGAGTAGGGGCTGTGTGGGCTCCAGTGAGGGTTTGAGAAGGGAGCTCGAGTGGTGCTGGCCGTGATTGGCAAGGTGGGAGTGATGTGATTAGGCTGAAAGGGAAAAGGGGAAGTGAAGGTGCAGGGAGAGTGGGGGCTGCCACGTGAAGGAAAAGTGGTGACGGGGGCCTTTTATTGGTGGAGATTGGGCACTAAGGAGAAGGGAAATGAAGGCCGGGAGATGGAGAAGTGAAAGCCTGGTAAGGGTAGGGCCGCCACGCGGGGAGAAAAGAGAGAGGTTGAGAGGGAGAAAGGTTAAGGAATGGGAAGGAGCGTGAATGAGGAAAAAATGATGAGGGTAGTGCCCTCGAACCCGTGGTGGCTAGTGGGAGACCAAAACTAAGAGAAGAGGAGGAGTCCCCCTTTCTCCTATCCCCCTCCATTTAAACCTAATATTTAGGTTTAAAACATCTCATGGGTGTACTCCATTTAAACAAAGTAAAAATGTAATATTATTTTTAAAATTTTATTACTCGTTTCCTCTTTTTTTATATTATATTTTTATTTAAAATTTATAAAAAATTACCTCATTTTTTTCCATTTATTGGTGTACTTGTTCACGGTCTACCGTTGTCGTTCCAGTAAACAAATGATTTTGAGGATATGAACTTTGAAAGAATATTGGACGAACTAACATCTTTGGTACGATAATTGGCCATAAACCAATACACATTTCAACAACAACAATATATATGTGGGATATGCACCTCCGTAGATCATCCCACTGATGTATGTCCTCAACTTCAGGAAACACCAAGCTTAATTAGGGAAATAATGGGTGGTATATTCCCTGAACAATAATATTACGGGCAGTTAAATTCATATAACCTACAACTGGAGTACAACCCATACTTGGCCACATATAATTATGGCTGGAGAGACCATCCAAACTTGAAATATGATCCTGTCTTCAACCAGTCACCAAAGATTCATTTCCCGCCAAACAACGAAGACATTTACTAACAACAGGAGTGTCAACTAACCTCACTGAGATAATAGGCAAATTTACACCATGTGCCATTACAGCCAAGCCAAAATAGTACTATGCAACAAGGTAACTTTGGGTCTGCGCTAGAAGATCTGATGAAGCAACTCACACAACAGATGATAACGCAAAATACACGAAGCACACAACTAGAACAACACTTCAATGACTTGCAAATCCAAATTGGACAAATGACCACTACCATGAATTCATTACAACAACAAGGTGCGAATGCACTTCCCTTGCAAACAATGATTAATCCTAATGAAAATGTACGTGCAATTACTCTGAGAAGTGGCCGAGAAGTTCAAATAGAGTAGAAGAACCCTGACACATCTTTGTTCAATGAGGGTGAGTTATTTTTAATGAACGCCTGCTTAGTTGAAGGTCGAAAGGATGAAGAGCTGAATCTAGGAGTTGATTTTGGACCTTGATCAGCCCTTAAAATCTATGAATTTAAGACAAGAAGAGTTGCTTGAATATGATTGTACGGATGAAAGTTATGTCATTGTAAAGAGATTAGTGATAATATTGAATCTGCTGTAGGAGCGCAAACAACTGCTAAAACAAGTGAAGCAAGTACACCACAACAGCAACATGAGGAGTTAGATCTGAAACCACTCTCATCCCATTCAAAAGTATGCTTACTTGGAGGAGTCTGAAAAGCTATCTATGATCATATCTGGTGATCTCCTCCCCGATCAAGAAGGAAGGTTGTTAAAGGTGTTAAAAGAGCGCAAGAAAACATTCGGTTGGTCCTTAGATGTCCTCACTAGGATCAACCCTACTATTTACATGCACAAAATCTTTTTGAAAAATGATGGTAGACTCGTGAAGCAGCCCCAACATAGGATGAATCCTACCATCCTTAATGAGGTGAAAAAGGAGGTGACCAAGTTATTGAAGGTTGACATCATATGTCCCATCTCAAACAACACTTGGGTATCTACTGCCCAAGTTGTTCCAAAAAAGAGTGGGATAACTGTTGTGCAGAAAGATTACTTTTCCCTTTTATTCAAAAATCTAACGATTGAGAGATTAGCAAATTTTTATTAGAGAATCATTCGAGACTTCAACAAGGTGACATTGCCTCTTTCCAGCTTACTACACAAGAAGACTTTGTTTGTTTTAGCTGAACTGAGTTGCTACTTGATGGCCTCGACATCTGTACCATCTGAGGAGATAGACCCAGGACTCAATCTATTTTAGTTGGTTTTCATTTATAATTGCATGTGCATTTGCATAACATAAATTCTCCACATTGAGGACAATGTTGATTTCAAAAGTGGGGAGTATTTGCATTTCATGCATGAGGTTTCATTCATTTTTTTGTTTTGTTTTAATTGTTGTAGATTGATGGGAGGCTACTTTGGAAAAGATGACCGACTTGATCAAGAGGAAGATTTCAAAGTTTAAAAGGTTTAATTCACATAAGAAGTCATGGTCGAGTTACATTAACATTGGTTTGAATTAATTTCAAGGTGCAAAAAGTACCCAGGTGAGTTTTGAGCCTTATTCCTTTTTGTGTTTGCCACTTATGATATGAGAACATTCCAGAACTTGATTGATTTCTCTGTGACACCAGATGAGCATACACAGGCATGGCAACGGGGCGGTGCGGGGGTGGGTTTTGCCTCCCCGATTCCCGCCCCCGACTTTTTTAATCATCCCCATCTCCGCTCCCGATCCCCGCCGGGGTTAGAAATTAAGTCCCCATCCCCGTCTCTGCTGGGTTTCGGGTTCCCCGTCCCCGATCTATATTATTTTTAAAAAGATAACTACATTTATAATAAATTAATTTTACTATCTATTTTTTATATATAAATAAATATTTATAATTTATAATAATTATTAATTAAATATACATTTTAATTTATTATATTCATATTAATATATGTAAAATAAATATTTAAACATTTTTTATTTATAACATTATTATTATTATTATTATTATAATACTGTATTCAAATATTTGAATACTTATAACATTATCATTATTATTATAATACTGTATTCAAACATTTGATTATATATATATATATATATATAAATAAGTTAATTCATTTTTAAATTGTCATTTAAAAATATGAAATATATAGTTTATAATGAAATATTTAATAAGTTAATTATTATTCAATTAGTTCAAACTAATAAAAGTTTAAATTATCAATTCCTTTAATCCTTTAAAATACAATTATTTTATTAAGATAAAATTTGATATATGATAAATAAGAATAATAAGATAAACAAATGACATAATAAAACCTAATAAATATAAATTATAAATAAAATAATATTAGTTACTATTAAGATTTATGTAAATATTTAGAAAAAGATAAAGAATAAAAAAATTAATTGTGTTCATCAAATTGATTGAAAAGATTGAAAAAAAAAACAAATTGATGAGAGAGATTAAGGAAATATGAAAAAGCTGCAAGGTATAAGAGAGAATAATGTAATAAATTAATTGATATAAAAGATTAAAAAAGACAAAAAAATTTAAAAATAGGTAGAAGAAAAATAAAAATTGGTAAAATATAAAAAATGACCTTATATGTAATAGAAAAAGAAAAAAAATAATTTTAAAATATTAATATTTTTAAATTTAAATTTAAATATAAAGTCGGGGTGAGGACGGTGCCGGGGTCGGGGTGGGGATTGCATTACCCATCCCCGCCCCCGCCCCCGACTTTTTAAACCGGGGAAAACCCGAACCCACCCCCGCCCCCGGTCAACTCGGGTTTTCCCCGTCAAACTCGAGGCGGGGGCGGGTCAGTTCCCACGGGGACGGTTTGAATTGTCATCTCTACACATCAGTAGATATGATTTAGGCCTTCTTTGTCTTAACTACTTAGCCAAATAGTCCACCCTTACCTTAAATTATCCTTTGAGCCTTATTTTTTCTTGGATTTAAAACTGAGAATTAAAGTCTTTCCAACCTAAAAACTACCCACACCCAGACTTAAAGGGAAGTAAGGAGCATGGAATCATCACAAAAATCCAATTCTACTCATCGCCAACAAATCTAAAAAAAAGAAAGAAAAGAGAAGTGTCAAAGTGTTAGGAAAAAGAAAAAGAAAATCATTTTGTTTGTACGTCAAAGCAATAAAAGAGCTCTAAAGGCACTCTAACATAAATGTGACAAAACAAAAAGATGCAATTGGAACAAAGTTTCACAGTACATTTATCCATGTTTTCATTTTTCTTAAAGTCTTAGTCCACTTTCCTAAAATAACCTACCCTGAACCCTAGCCTCATTACAAGCCAAGTAAAAGTCCTATTGATCTACGAAGGTATGTGTTCTAATGATGAAAATTTAGAGATCTTTCAAGCTTATGGTAAAGGATGATGTCATGATGTGAAGATGAGTGAAATTTTTAGCATAAACACTTGAGAAATTAGAGTAAACACTTTACCACGAGAAGATGTTCCCTTGAAATGAGTCCTGAAATCCTTAAAGAGTACTTGGGCATGATAATACTTTGTTAGTTATGATCTTGATCTTTTTTATTCTCTCACTTTTGGTTGATGAAGTTTTTGTTGACTATTGTAGTTTTCAGGATGTCAATAATGTTTGCAACATTATCTATCTTTGCATTGCATGCATTCTTTTCTTTCTTTTATCTTTTGCTTAGAAGTGAGAAACAACAAACGTGGGGAGTATTTGATTTATGTCATTTTACTTTTTAGTTCTTGATCTAAGAGCATTTTATAAGCTAGTTATTTTATTCATAAACCATGCATTTAACATGTTTTCATTAAAAGCATAACATAATTCAGTTTTTCTTAATTTGTTGCATTTTACATAGTTTTAGCATAATAAATAATATACATGCATACATCTACATTGCATATTTCTTTTTTTTTTCTTTTGTAGGAGAGGTAATTTGAGATGGACCAAAGTGATGGAAATAAAAGTTTGCTTATGCAACCCACTTGCATAATGTTACAAATGAAAATTTTGAATCAAACAAATTAACTAGTGTAGGAATCCAATCTAGCTGAATTAAAGGTTAGCAAGAATCAAGAATTAAATGCAAATTAGTGTTGGATCACTCAAAATAGGAAAGAAGCATACTATTTTCTCCAAATCAGTCCCAAAAATTTCTCTTCACAACAATAAGATTTTGTAATTATTTATTTGAGAAATATTTGATTTTATTGTAATTAATTTTAGGCTTAATTTTTCTTGTTCAAACTCCTATAAA